GCTATATCTTGATCGAAAAACCGTTGGAGCATATACCGGCGAATACCTTTTGCAAAACTTTTCGTTTTATAACTATCTGTTTTTTTTTTGTATTGTTTTTGTTCATGGCAATATTTTCCTTTTTTGTGATATTTTTTGTTCTCCTGTACGTGACTATAGCCCCCCCTCCAAATCTGGGATGCCTTACTGCATGACGTCATACCCCGCCACCGAAGAATCCCCCGCGCCCCGCATTCCCCTCGGAGTTCCCGAGTTAGAATTCTCATAGCATTACTACTTATATATATTTTTTTTTCGTGTCCCCCCTTCCGCGTCCTCCGCGTCCTCCGCGGCCACCACGTTTTTCGTATCTGCGACTTTGTGGGCTGTGGCGGCTTTTTTGCCAGCGTCTAACTGTAATAATTAATGAAGTAGTTATGATTAATGAATTAGTTATCTAACTCTATTTATTTGCTATAATTTGACCAAATGCCCCTTTTGCGAGTCGTTATTACTTACGTTTTTCTTGTGGGGCCGTTGGTTCCGTGAGCGGCTGCGTTGCCGCTGGTCCCGGTGCGGCCGGTCCGGGCGGCTGCGTCGCCGCTGGCCCTTGTGCAGGCGGCATGGGCTGCTCTGACGGCACCGATGGTCCTGAGGGCTGAAGTTCTAAAAGTTGTCTCAGTTTTTCAACTTCAGCCCTCAGGGCCGTTAATTCTATGTTGGTGTCCTCCATTAAGCTGAAAGATCATGAAAAATAACTTTAATATTAATACAATTAATACAATATTAATTAAATATATAAATCTTGTTATATAAACTACTTACATTTCGCCCATGTCGGATATCCCCGATGAGATCCGCAAAAATGTAATGTAATGCAAAGCACAGTTGAAGCCAGAAACGCTCTTCAAAAAATGAGACATGATGCAATACCCGAACCAGGCCAGACACACGTCCATCCTGCTCGAGCAACAAACTAGGGTCATGATACCATGACAGTGATATCATGGTTGCCAAACGAACCCTTAACCATAGAGATAGTAGTACTAGAGGTCGCATTGTCAGAAATTTGAGGAGTGGGGGTAATCCTATCTTGAAAAGGACGCACTCATTTGAGGGGGTGATCCCGATTGATCACAGCTCGATTGGACACCACCAATTACAGCGACCGGTGCTTAGGAGCTTTGTAGTCTCAAGCGCTGTGAGTGGCTCGTGTCCAATTGAGCCGTGTCCAACTGGGTGCCACCCTCATTTGAGTCCTTCCTTTCTCTCTCTTCTACGGCTATACGTACGGGAAGGCTCCGATTGCACACATGCGTCGCTAATTGGCTAATTTAAAAATAAAAACAATGTATTTATATTTTGACCGTATATTTGAAAAACTCAATTAATAATATAATATAACTGCCTATTACGGTCCGAGCTGGATCTTCGTTGCTTTAAATAATTCAATCTTGAATTACTAATATATCCTATATATGTACTAGCATATATACCATATTGTAGTCTTTTTCAAACTGCGCGCCGAATTGTTTTTCCGGACTAAATAAACGCAATTAAAACTACTCTAGTAATCGCGAATTAAAAATTGACAAGCAATTTTTATTAATAATTTGATGCTACCATCAAGCATCATATATTATAAAGATGTTAATCTATAAAAACTGTTAATAAATTTATTGCGAAAAATATTTTCGACCGTAATAGGACCGTAATAGGCAGTTACATTATATTATTAATTGAGTTTTTAAAAATAAAATATTCTCATTGGAAAAGCAGTGAAAAATTACTAGGCACCGGCTGATATGAGTGGTGTGTGCAATCAGAACTGTAGGCAAACGGGATCCTCCCTATACGTACGCAGTATACGGCTATTTTATTATTTACTTAACTCTAATGATATGTATCATGTGTATAAAGGATTTTCTCTATGGAATTTTAAAATTATATACAAACTTACCTTTTTAAAAAAAGGTAAAAAAAGCGCTAAGCTTTGGTGAAACTGGCCCAAATGGTGCTTCTCGTAAAGAATCCATTTCACCAACGCCAGTGTTTTTCTTAAAAAAAAAACAGCTATTATTACATCACTTTATATTCGATTCTGCTGTTAATATCTTATTATTTTATTTTATAAGTATAAAGGCGGCGAACAGAACACAGACAGGACACATATTATCAGAGAGTCGCCAACTTGACCCGAAGCGCTCGCTGATTGGCTCAAGGCGCGTGGCGCTCGAAAAGGTTAAAGTGGCAATGATAGGAAGATAAAAGCCGTAGCTTGCATCATTGGCTGCGTTCAGCAGACTCAACAGTTTTGCAACCGTTTTATGATTCTTCGCTGAGATTGGACTATTCCTTTAAAACTAAAAGTATAAACCAATCAGCGCGACGAATCATAAAACGGTTGCAAAACTGCTGAGTCTGCTGAAGACAGCTATTGTCACTCTAATTTTTTTTTAACCTCACGCGCCCTGAGCCAATCATGAGCGGTTTGAATCAATTTGCCGACTCTCTGATTATAGACTCTATCATGGATCACGGACTAAACGTGTATAGAGGCCCAATGGTTACGTTTACATCGTGCACTTAGGCCGCAGCTTATACAATAAATGTCCTTGTTTATCCTGTAGGTTAAAACAAAGACACCTACAGGGAGTCGATTGTGTATCTTTAAAATGAGGTGAAAATTCCAAAAGTGAAAAAATTCACTAGTTATTGACCAATTAAATTATGAATATTCTAGTGAATTTGCTCACTTTTGTAATTTTCACCTCATTTCAAAATACACAATCGATCCCCAGGATAAACAAGGACATCTATTGTATAGGTAAAACAACGAAGATAGAATGACAGAAGTAACGCTGATAGCGCTCCCCGAACGCATCAGAAATGAAGCGCAAAGAGAGGAAAGGATATCTGATAGCGGGATCTGGGTATTAATTATGAAACTTCATCCCTAGGATGGAAAGTGAAAAGTGAAAATTTTACCCATTGAAGTTAATGGAGAAATTTTTCACTTTTCACTTTTCATCCTAGGAAAAAAGTTTCATGATTGATACCCTGATCGTAGCAACATCATTCATTTCTTCACAGTTGGCAGGCCTGATACTCTGACCGATACTTAGAACATATATAAATGGAACGGGCATTGCCTATACTTCCCACGGCTCGCGCTGATGAAAACGTCTGTGCGAGAGAGAAAGGTAGTAAGGGATAAATGTTCCCAATGCGCATGCGCAGCATCAGGTTTTACACATCGTGTAGTGTACGAATGTGTAAAAACACTAAAACAACTGCACAATTCACACAGATGACGGTGCTACGCATGCGCATTGCGAACATTTATCCCTTACTACCTTTCTCTCTCGCACAGATGTGGCTTTACGTTCAGCGCCCTATGCCCCTTCCATTTACATATGTTCTAAGGAACGATACCTCCACAGTCCACCAGTGTTGTTAGGTATGCCGCCTTTTTAGCGCATGCGCACTACAGTACTAGTGACTTCTAGAGAAATCCAGTAATGTAAAGGATGAAAATCGCGGGGGCCGGGGCCGCAGGCAAAACTGTTCGTGGTTACGCGCGATAATCGGAGAAAAGGTATATACGTTATATTGAGCCCGCGGCTCCGCGCTTTTCATCCTTTACATTACTGGATTTTTCTAGAACTCACTAGTACTGTAGTGCGCATACGCCAAAAAGGCGACATACCTAACAACACTGCAGTCCATTCGCAAAAGGGGCGCGGTTTGTCCAAACTGAGCACACTATGTCAATCCCTTTCACCATGATTTGCATAGTTAATGATTTGATCGTGTTAATTTGATTGATTTTGGGTGATTTTGAGATCGAGTGAAAGATTTTGTAATCTTCATTAATAAAAGGTAATCCAATACGTTTCTTCATAAATGTTTTTTTAATTATATAATTTCTTTTTAAAATGAGTGACCGTAAAAATCGCTCGTTTTTTGGGTCCTCAATTTTGGAACTGAACTGTGTCAAATTTTAACTTATATTCAGACATCAATCACAAAGAAGTTTAAAGATGAGATGACAATTATCAGAGCTGGTATCATATTGTCATTTGGCACACAGTTTAGTACAAAAATTGAGGGCCTAAAAAATGGGTGAAAAAATCCCTTTTTTGCGATCAGTTTTTATTATTTATCAATATAAAGATTATGTTAAGTTTAGATTGTTTTTATTACTGTTATATTGATACAGGTGAAGATTTCTGATACTAATTTTTTGTGCGAAGTATCGTATATAAAAACGTGTCCATTTGTCACTGTGTGTGTAACAAGTAGCGTCATCATAAATTTTATTATAATCTACATAAAATGATTACTGTAAGGAGTGTAAAAGACCTAGTGGTTATTTCGTGATACATACATGTAGAGGAATAGTAAAGCATGTTGTTATAATTATTGTGAGTTGAATCGATTTGTCACTGTGTGTGTAACAAGTAGCGTCATCATAAATCTACATAAAATAATTACTGTAAGGCGTATAAAAGACCTAGTGGTTATTTCGTAATACATACGTGTAGAGGAATAGTAAAGCATGTTGTATAGCAAAAAAATACAAGTGCTTTGCTTTCGTATTCTTTGTTTAGTTTGTTGACCTTGCTTTTTGCCATATATCCCACCCCTACGGAATACATGGCAAAAATGCAAGGGTTTCAAAATTTTTTAATACGATTTTCATAGTAGTAGACAGTTCACAGTTTTTATACTGGTATACTTTGTTTATTTTAAACATAGTAAATAATACTTAATAAATTAAGTTTTTGATAGGTGCGGCTTATATACTGGAGTTATTCTATTATATATTGTTGAGTAGGAAATTACAACTAACAGGTACGTTACATGTAACTTTGTGTTTGCTGGAACACTTAAACGAAAATTATTGCATTAGTAGAGTTATGTAGTTATATATAACATATATATAATATATATATATATATACGGGTGTCCCATTTTAAATGACAACCTCAAATTTCTCTTGAATAGTGCATTTTAGAGAAAAATGTTTCAAACAAAT